CCTCAAGCAATCCAACCTCGGAGCTCAAAGAACCTGCAGCCCTTCCTGACCTCGTGCAGCCTGAGAGCACAGCAGCCTCAAGCAATCCAACCTCGGAGCTCAAAGAACCTGCAGCCCCAGTAGAGGAGAGCGCTGTTTGAAATTTGAGGCAAATGTTGTTGAGAGGAAAAAGTTTGGTAAAGTCAACTATCTTGGTTGTTGAGCTCCAGCCCCTATATGGCAGGACTCCCAGGATCCGCACTTGGCTTCATCCTGTGGCCTGCCATCTCACCCCACCAAGGCAGGTCCTGACTTTGGTCACGTCATTCCCTTCATCTGCACTTGCAATAGAACATGCATGTGTCAATGCTTCTGTTTTTGGATGTTTTTGGAAGTTTTTGTTCAGGCCACGGCTATGGGTGCTGTGGAGTGCATTTCTTCCGACGATGAAGGCAACGTGTCCGAGCTCAAGGACGAGTTGGCCGGCCTACTTGCTCAACTTTCTCTGTGCCTTGAAAGCCCATCCAGCTGCAGAGTTGTTGAGGTTATTTTGTGTTCATAAGGCTTGCGAGAGCGAATGTTGAAAGCAAGGCCTGTGAACAGTACCCCTCAAAGAAATCCACCCATGCATCAAAAGCCTTAGCCCGCTGAAAGCAACCTTTAAAGCATGATGAGGCAGCAGCGGTCTGAGCTGATGAGCAATGTTGGATGGAAGAACCACCAAGTTCCGCACGCTGCAGGTTGCTTGGTTTTATGTTAAAACAATTATAAGTCACCCTATGAGCATGCGTGCAGTTGCTGAGAGTCATATGTTTCGATCAGTGATGTGTCATGTGTCCTTAAACAACTGTAGATGAGGACAACCTATGCCCATCGTGGTCCCTGACTCCCTACCTCAATGTGGTGACAATGATTCCACCTTAGTGCAATCCTTCCCTGAAGATTGGATTCACACACCATTCATCATGGACTTGCTCGCAAAAGAAGGCTCTCCAGCGCCTGAGTCTTCTTCAGTGGCAATGGCTTCTGGTGCACCTGCGCAGGATGCCCCAATGCATGCTTCTTCGGAGAGAAAGGCTGGCTGGGGCGATCCGAAATGTGGGTCAAGTGTGTGCACACGCAGCTGCATATGCATGAGTTGAATTCACCTGTGCTGGGTGCATGTGCTCAACAAAATGGATCACACAGTCATTCTGACAAGACAGTTTAAACCAAACAAGACTCATGGATCTGAATATAACATATTCAGCCGTGAGAACTTTGCTTTCACGTGCTTTCTTGATCCTTGCAACATGTTCCATTCAAAAGTTTTTCTCCTATACTTTGCGAAGTGCACTGGCTGATCATGATTGATATCGATCAACATGTGTGTAGCGAGGCAAAGGTTAACACTCGCAGGTTGACCATTTACAGGTATAATTGCAATTATAGTCATATATGGCCGATTGTCATGCAGCTTAGAGCATCCTTGTGGCAAGGCTGAAGAGAAGACCCTGTCTGAGGTGAAGGCAAAATTCCACGGGTGTGCAGGTGGAGAAGTCAAAAGTGGAAGGCCACGCTTGTGGCAAGGCTGAAGGTGATGCCACGCATGTCCCAGTGAAGAGGAGGAGACTGAGAAATGCTGGAGAGGTTGCAGAGGAGGCTGAGAAGCCTAGTGTGTCGGAAGAGGCGGTGGAGGAGCGCAGGGATGCCTCGCGCAAGAAGATTGAACTGCCAGAGGTGAAAGGTCACACTTTCCCAGATGTGGCAAGTGAAGGCTATGCTACACGACGGGAGCAACTCAAGAAAAAGAAGGATACAAAGGAGACCAACAAGCGCAAGAAGGGGAAGGGTGACCAGAAAGAAAATTTGGGCAGGGAAGACTGTGAGGAGGAGGGTGATGGAAGTGAGTTGGATGATGCCAAGGCCGAGGCTGAGTCCAAAAGCAGAAGAACAGCTGCCAAGTCAATGATTCGCAGAACCATGAACCACATCTCTGAGGAGGTTTCCGCAGAGGAGGTTTCTGAGGGCAAGGCTTCGAAAGAGAAACCAAAAGCGAAGGCAAAGGCAAAAGGGAAGGCAGCGGCAAAGGCCAAGAGCAGAGCAGCTGGCAGTGGCAAGGACAAGAAAGGACAGAAGGCTGCTGAAGCAGAAGAGCCAGAGGAAGCTGATGCCGAGGAAGGACATGACTCTCAATCCACAGTGGACTGGAAAGAGGCAAAGTCCACCGAGGCAAAGACTCGGAAGGCAAAGGCGTCGCCAAAGAACAGGTCAGCACCAAAGAAGAAGGCGCCGCCAAAGAAGAAGGTGAGGCCACCAGTGAAAAAGCGGCCTGCTGCCGCGTCTTGCCGGACTTCCCGTGTCGAGCCACTGGAGGAAGAAGAAGTGCAAGCCAGCGCAGGGAATCTGGCACCCCCAGTGCCTGCGTTTGAGGTTGCGCATGCTGGCTTACTTGAAGAAGCCCGAGAAGCTCTTCTTGGCTGCTTGAGGCGCTGCTGGAAATCAGGTGAGCTGGGCATGAAAGGGAAGCACTCACACTCGCTTGACCAGATCGATGACAAAGTGAGCGAGGCTCTGCAGAAGTCAGTCTACTGGTCCCGCAATGCAGCAGGCCTCAAGGACAGCTCCAATCGGCAGGTATGCTACTTCAGCAAAAGCACACCTTGTGCCTGCACCAACATCATCTTGGCCAACCTGTGGGTCTTTGCCTTAACAATCGAGCAACGTGTGTCATTTTCAGTGCTTGTAGCTTCGTGGAGCCTGTGCCACAATCTTGTGCGTGTGCACCATGGCCTTTTGTTGGCT